TCCCTACAGATATTTGGCTCCTGAATATTTCCAACATGGTAAAGTATCAGATAAGACAGATGTTTATGCTTTTGGAGTGGTTTTATTGGAACTCATTACTGGCCGGAAGCCAATTGAAGCAAGAAGACCTTCGGGAGAGGAGAACTTGGTCTTATGGGTGAGTTATTGCATTAATTCTTGCAAAGTTGCCTTAATTCTTGATTATACGATGATTGAACTAATGTGATTGATGATAAATTAATAACCAAAACACTCTTAAGCATATCTACTTTTTGATGGTACATTAAAGCAGTAATATCAATTTCACCCTAATTTATTCCTTTTTGATCACTGAACTATGTGTTTTCCTAGCTGTTTGTTTACTTCTATAACAAATCATAAGAAAATTGAAAATTGTTTGTTTTATCTACTTCTGTAATCAAACTTAATTGATGTAGCTGTAAAGTACGACAGTTAGATTTGTAATGCATCTTAATAGTTTAGATAGATACCATGTTTAGCAGGAGTATATGTATTATTTATTTTGAATTTAATATCTTATTTTTGGGTGGATAAATGAAACTAGGGAGTTCATTTAATATGCATGCAGTATTCATAGTGAATCATAGTAGAAAACTTGCACCAAAGTTCGGCATCAATGACCACATTTGTGCTGGTAATTACAGCACTGCATTTAAATTAAGAACAGTAATATCGAATTGACACGATCTTGTTAACATTTGTCCAATCTGGCATTCATTTGCAGGCTAAACCTTTTCTACAGAAAGGCAAAGGAGCCATTGAAGAGTTGCTTGATCCTCAACTCAAGTGCAGTCTGAGATTCTCAAATCAAATGGGTAGAATGATTGAAGCCGCAGCTGCCTGTGTCACAAATGAAGAATCTCGAAGACCCGGCATCAGTGAGATTATTGCAATACTGAAAGGTGAAGAAGAACCTCTTTTGTCTAAGAGAAAGAAGTCCAGTTTTCTTGGGAATGGATGCGTGATTGATTGTTATTCTCAGTTACAACAAACAAACAATGAGATGAAAAGTCACTTGGCTTTAGCAATGCTAGGAGTTGCTGAGTTTGAGGATGATGATTATCTCTATGGTCGATGAAAACATGTTGACAACCCTTAAATAACTTTTTACCTTGATTGTCACTAAGAGTGCTAATGATTAGATGCGAGCGAGTTGAAATTGTAAATAGAAATAGGAGTTAAGGCGAAGATTGTGTGTAGATACTCCCCTTTTCTCGAAAGGGTAATAGATTTTCATTCTTTGTTTGTGCTTCATGTTCGTAAATTTTATGATTTATATCTGATCCTTCTTGTTCACAAGCACCTGTTTTTGGTGGGATGGGGTAATAGCCTTCATTTCAATGAAAACGTTAGGTTGAGGAGTAGCTTATGAAGAAGTATATTTAATATTTTTTTAAGTGTTTTTAGAAAAAGTTTATGTTAACAAGTGTGGAAAGCTTGATTTTATTTCGGGTACATTGCCATACCGAAAAGACCCCTCTTCTATTTCTGTCTCACCTAACTCATATTAACCCTAAACAAATAAAAGGAATAACATATAGACACACAACACAAGGAATGCATTTAAGAATAGGAGAAAATGGACGAGTAATATATAAAGTAACTTTTTTTAATTGATAAATTCCATTTTTAGCATATGCTTTATCATTAATTTACTAATTCACACACACGCCCATATATATATATA